AAGAGAAGACGCACTTGACCTGGTGTATAAGCATGATGTGTAACCCGACTTCTCGATGTGTTTGATTAAACTGGGTGTTAAGGCTTTCGCTTTTTCCTCTGCAGGATGGATTAGTCAAGGAAGATCAAATACCTTTTGTGACTCTTTCTCATAATTAAACGTTAATTATAATGATATTTTCTTTTTCGTTCATTTAATTAATTTTTGGTGATTTTTTATAATGGCCACTTGGGTAGACGGAAAAAGTTTCCTTAGTAAGAATATGTTCTGATCTGTTAATTTTAGTTGAGCCCTCATTGTATTTTTGTAATTACCAATATTCATTTTAAAAAAATAAATATGAAATTGTGAAGGTTAGCCTTTCTTTTATTCAATTTTTATTTTGGGACACTTGAAGTGATGAAGCTAATATGTCACTGTAAAGTTAATTCATTTTAATTATTGCTTTTGGGGTTACGGAGCTTTTTTATTTAATTTAAAGGTTTTCGAGGAGGGGAAATCTTCAAAAGACACCCCCTGAATGGAGGTAGTGTCGGATTTTTACCGACAAAAACCCCTCCTCGACTGGGGAAATAAACCCTGGAGGTTGCTTATCCCCTGGAAGAAAATGGAAGGTTGGGATTGGGAAGTGGATTGAGATGGGAAATAGTTAAGTGTGAGGGGTGAGAAAAGGGAATATTGGGGAGGGAATCTGTCAAAATAGGTGGTCCACCTCTGAAGAGGTGGGAGGACACTCGCACTAAAAAGCGAAATACCCTTCCACTTCAAGAGGCTTGACTATACATCCCCTAACAAGACCGATGTCCGATCTGAACCGAGAGCAACCAATCAGCTGTCAAGAATCATAAAATCTGGACATTCACAGAGCAAAGAATAGCCATCACAAATAAACAAGCTCGACCACAACTACGTCAGAAATATTATAAAATACATGAGGTATATTACCTATTTTTAATAAATAGAAATCGGATGACAAAATGACATATTTTTTAGATGTTTGTAGTGATTAAAAAAAGGCAAATACACACTTATTTAAATCTTACATTATGTATAGGTAGGTATGTATAGAATAATAAATTAAATAAGTAATTAAAAACCACTTGGTGACATAAATCTCGCATTTAATACTTTCGGCATACAAAGAATTAGCTAACAATCTAGTCTGAGGAAGTCATATACATTAATGGCGAAACGTAGATGTTGGATGATAAATAGTTTTTTGTCCTAATTTGACCATGATTTTTATTATGATGCCTCAATAGTGAATATATATATAATAATGAATACTATTAGGCTATCTATTAGTAATTCTCATCGTCCTAGCGGTTTCGTGAGTCTACACTCAGGATTTACTTTATCCTATTCTGTATACTGAACAATTGTTCAGGCGACACGACCCTGCACTATCCTCTGCTTTATATCCCTACTACTCTTTCCGTCCTGACTTATCTAACTTCCTAGATATCTAAAATCAGCCACCTCTTCTAATTTTTTGTCTCCTATCTTTGTATTCGCTCTTTCCCTACTTTTTCTTCCCTTTAATACCAGTATTTTAGTTTTACTTTTATTTATTTCCATACAGTACTTATCTGTCAGTACCGCATCCATTTTATTTAAAGCTAGCTCTAGGTCCTCCTTGCTAGATGCTAATACTTCTATATCATCTGCAAATCTAAGCATCCTAATCTTTTGCCTCTGTATATCTACCCCTACGGTTGTACTGTCTTTAATGATGTTGTTAATTACTATAATTTTAATAATTTATCTATAAAAGAATAATTCTAATTTAGAAGAAAATCATATAATTATAATAAATATCCTTGACTTGAACATATTGTTGGACCAAACTGTAACTAAGTTTTTGTTGTAATATATTATAGTGATTAATCACCCTTTGTTTTTACAGATGGAATTCGAGAATGTTATGGTGTAAGCTGTCCTAAAGGCACTGTTACTTGCACCAAACATTCCACAACAACCAGCGATTTGCAATATATCGATACTGTCGTCAGATGTATTGATAATCAAGGTACTTTTTTCTAAAGAATGAGGGATTTTTGTAAGAAATAGTCCCTACAATTTCATAACTTACCTGGTTTGTGAATTGGTGTATTTATTGCATTAGTTTGCGGTTAGCTATCATAACAAATACAATAAAAAATAAACAAGTAAAACTAAAAATTTCACATATGAATGTTTAAAAAAAAAGTCTCAACTGCTTGAGCGTCGAAATTTGTTTCAGTTGTTAAGTAGAGCTTTGGGTCTAAATGTTTTATCACAATAAATGTTTATTTTTAAGGTAACACTATGAAATCTGACCAGCAACAAAGAGCTAATCCTTTTCCAGATGTACGATTTTCAATTTTCTCTTTTGAAAGTGGAGTTATAGGAACTTCAGGAAGACAACCGTCTGACGCAACTCCAGCATACGATAACAAATATGACCAAGTTGAAACGTTTTAAAAAATATTTTCCGTAAATTATACAATGCAGTTTTGATGCTAGGAAAAAAACTGGAAATATAGATACATTTTATTTTTTTCTTTTATGATTTTTAGCGTCCATATTGCCCTTAAATTTTTACTTCAACAGTAAATGTACTGTCATTTTTATGACTTATGTAATTTGTGACTATGAGTCTAAATCTTGGTTCACGATCAGATTGCTACAACACGTCTGCATTCCGATTCCGATTTCCTAACCTTAAAATAAAAAACAATGGGATTCTTACGTGGGGTAAAAGAATACACGATAACTAAAAATAATTTGATGAAACTGAACTAAAGGACAAACACAAATGTATAAAATTTGAGTATTACTGGGTCATTTTCTTGTCTTTCCTTTCCATTACCTGTACACATCAAGATTTCGATATCTCATAACTTCGACGTCACAGTGATGCTAGTGTGATTTGAGTAATAAACTCTTGGTCAACATTCTGGTTTTCTACTTACTCGGGTTTCTTAGTTGGAGCATCTTCAAGCATCTTTCTTCGAGCCTTCCTGAAGAGAAGACGCACTTGACCTGGTGTATAAGCATGATGTGTAACCCGACTTCTCGATGTGTTTGATTAAACTGGGTGTTAAGGCTTTCGCTTTTTCCTCTGCAGGATGGATTAGTCAAGGAAGATCAAATACCTTTTGTGACTCTTTCTCATAATTAAACGTTAATTATAATGATATTTTCTTTTTCGTTCATTTAATTAATTTTTGGTGATTTTTTATAATGGCCACTTGGGTAGACGGAAAAAGTTTCCTTAGTAAGAATATGTTCTGATCTGTTAATTTTAGTTGAGCCCTCATTGTATTTTTGTAATTACCAATATTCATTTTAAAAAAATAAATATGAAATTGTGAAGGTTAGCCTTTCTTTTATTCAATTTTTATTTTGGGACACTTGAAGTGATGAAGCTAATATGTCACTGTAAAGTTAATTCATTTTAATTATTGCTTTTGGGGTTACGGAGCTTTTTTATTTAATTTAAAGGTTTTCGAGGAGGGGAAATCTTCAAAAGACACCCCCTGAATGGAGGTAGTGTCGGATTTTTACCGACAAAAACCCCTCCTCGACTGGGGAAATAAACCCTGGAGGTTGCTTATCCCCTGGAAGAAAATGGAAGGTTGGGATTGGGAAGTGGATTGAGATGGGAAATAGTTAAGTGTGAGGGGTGAGAAAAGGGAATATTGGGGAGGGAATCTGTCAAAATAGGTGGTCCACCTCTGAAGAGGTGGGAGGACACTCGCACTAAAAAGCGAAATACCCTTCCACTTCAAGAGGCTTGACTATACATCCCCTAACAAGACCGATGTCCGATCTGAACCGAGAGCAACCAATCAGCTGTCAAGAATCATAAAATCTGGACATTCACAGAGCAAAGAATAGCCATCACAAATAAACAAGCTCGACCACAACTACGTCAGAAATATTATAAAATACATGAGGTAAACAAGCAACAGGTCACAAATAAGTACTATAAAGAAACAGAATTTTCCGTATAGAAAGAAAAAAAGTTTGACACTATTTCAGCAGCATTACTAAACCATGTATAAACAAGTTTTGTGTCGTTATTATGAATTAGAAAGATCAAAAACATTTTTATTTGAAAAGAGTTTTAGATAAGAAAGAGTATTTATTATGCGAAAAACTCTTAATAAAACAGGCTCAAAATTCTTGCCTTGGTCGGGATGCCATTCCATTAATACTCCAAAAACCACTTATACACCAGTTGACATGCTTTTCCTTTTCCTAAAGTAATCCACGACTTCTCGTCTTCGGTCCCTTACTGGCTACGCATGTAGGGTATTTCCTACACTAGTCTTTTATATCGCTTCTACTTCAAGTCAATCAAATCGATGGCGTACCGTCCCTAGAGTTTTCGTACCACCGACTTCTGAAACTCTGCTTTTCAGAAAAAGAAACACCTGAAGCTTGTACACTCTTTTTAAAATGTCGTGGCTAAAAGTAAGAGTATTCCATTGAGGGTAATATCTTTTTGGCTTAAGTGGCTCACATTTTTACATCTCACTATTGAGTCAATATGTTTATTCTTCCTTTGGTCTTCAATGAATTTATTTTTCCGGGATTCCTCAAGCTGGACGCTGGTTAGATTACAATAAATTGATATCAATCCTAGGTAAAGGTCTAAATGATGGCCCCCACCCCCGAAGGGGAAAGATCGAAAGAGGAGGTCTCCCCCACCACTGTACCATAAAAAGTTCGTGGCGGTCTCACCCCCATAAAAAGTTATGGGGGTTCAAAGTTAATAAATATGACAATTTTTATACATTTCTAGGCATGTAAATATTTATATAGTCATTCTTAAACAATATTCAAAGGTAAAACTAATGGAAATACGTAAAAATATTGAGAAAGTTATATAAAACATTATTTAAATATCTTTATCAATAGGGTAGGTTAGGTTAAGTTAGGTTAGGTTATCGGGTTTTGTTCAAGTGACCACCCTCTTTCGATCCCCCACTTCCACCCGCTTGAAAATATTTTTTTTATTGAATTTTATTTGAATTATAGTGTATGGAAATTGTCAAAATAATCAACTTTCAACCCCCATAACTTTTTATGGGAGTGAGTCCGCCGCAAATTTTTATGGGGTTTTACTCAGGTAACCACCCTATTTTGATCCCTCCTACCCCCCCCCCCTCTCTCCCCCCTATAACTTTTTATGGGGGGTGAGACCGCCACGGACTGTTTATGGTACAGTGGTGGGGGAGACCTCCTCTTTCGATGCCACCCACCCATCTAGACATTTACCCAATCCTATCTTTATTTTCCACAAATGCAGTTTTCCACGTTAGGTCTCCGGGATACTGCATCTGTGTTGTCGTGTTATTTGTCTGGGCACAATGTAGAAATGCTGGGATTTAAGTCGATCCCATGTTCTCAGAAAAAGTTCAATTCCATAATGAACTCATCAACTATGTCAACCACTAACACCCAACTATTAAAGATTTTATTTCCAATTGTAATTTCTACTATGCATTCTCCACAGATAAATAAAATCTCTCCGGTTGCCGTAGTCAAGATCAGTTTCATTGTCAGGGGCATCCGGATGAATTGGGATACTACATCAACTCTAGTTCTATTCAATTTTGGGATGATGACTTCTTCAAGGGCTTGGTCGGGGTGAGCCAACATGCTCCCCATAAAATTGACTGATTATATTCAACTATCTCCGCCGGAAGGTCGGCCATGTTTTGAATTTCGTTATGCTGTGTATGCTGCAGTGACTTTATATGCATCTACTATTCATTTTTTATGAGCAACATAAAACCTTCTTTTTTATTTGTAATGTCTATTTCTGCTTGTCGGTCTCCACATATGATGTTATTTGTTTCGCTTCTTCAAACTCTACGACATGTGTCAATACTTCACTTAGAGTCTCGTGGCGTACCTACTAGTCTAAAGACTAGATGTATTTAGTTTAACGTCCCTGACTCCATCGATAAATATTTGTACTGCCACTTGGTCTATGATAAACTCTTGAAGGGATAGGGGTAAGCCAATCTTAGGAGGAGCTGTAGATGCTTATTACCACCCCTCATTTCTAGACGATTGACAAGATGGTGGAAGTCTTTTTGTGGAATGTAGAGACTAGGGCATTCCTTGGAGTATATCCAGTGCCTATCCTTACAATTATTAGAGCTGTTGCTTTCTTTAAATTAGTCCATGTGCTTGCTTCTGTCGCTTTTCCAAACTACATCAGGCAAATGTATCTCTGGTCGGTCATTCTATTTTTAGTGTCCACGACCGGTCAATGAAAGAAACTACTATTGCAATAAATAATCGCACAATTATATGACTGTATCACAAATTTATTTAGTATGTGCAAAAGAGGTACGATTTATTCGTATAATTTAAAAAACAGAATTATTTGTTACGGTTGCCTACTTCACACCCAATGATCGTAATTGTCCAGAACTTGTCTATGGTCCAGAACTATGGTCTAGAACTCCACCTAACCAACAAAAAAATGGTTAGGAAAATTAAGAGATAAATATTGTTTTTGTTAGAGTGTCTTTGTGTTTAATTATTAAACATTAGGAATGATATGTAAAAAGAGCTTAACAATGCAGGAGGATAATTCAATGTTTGAAAAAATTCTAGGAGATTTGGAGCATATCATTGAAAATGATATAAATTCTAGACTGTAAGTAAAACCAACATAGCACAATGCATGAAAGTGCTTTTATAACATAATTCCAGGAAGACGTTCAGTGTTGTGCCAGTTACAGAAAATAAAAATAAATCTCCCATTTTATATGAGAGACAGAATGGATCAGAGCACCATTTGGGACTGGAATCTTGGTGTGTAAAACATATTTACAAATATGCATCAACAGAACTGTTCAGAGTTAGACGTTTATTGAAGAAAAACAGATTGTCAGTTTTTCAGATGGAAACATTAAATAAATATTTGGTTGGAGCTTTATTAATCAATCCAGAAGTGACAACTTTCTGGAATATGAAGAAGGAACTTATAGAACAGGACATATTACAAACAGGAAAAGAGTTGTTGTTTACAAAACTTGTTTTGTCACATAAGAGCAAGTCAAATGATACATTTAATCACAGAAGATGGTTATTGAAAAGAATGCTGTCTAATACAAAACCAGAATGTTATATTGACATGTTACCAGAAGAATTTGCAGTAACAGAATTTGCAGCAGAAAAAGCAGAAAACAATTATCATGCATGGACACATCGTATTTGGTGTTTGGAAAACTTTTTATTCTCGAAAACGATTGATTATCAAAGTAAAAGTAATGTAATTTTTGAGCAACTACAGTTCTCTTTAGGATGGATTAATAATCATATATCTCAACATTCTGGGTACCATTATAGACAGTATTTAATAAACTGCATTAAAAACATTCCTACCATGAACAATTCCATAAGCAATACATCTTTTATGTTTGTGAAAAATTTGTTAGGACTTTCAATAGAAGATATGTCAAATGAAAGGAGTTTCATAAACAAATTATTAGGAGAATCTAAAGATTATGCTAGTGAAAGCAATAATTATTCTAATTATGTTTGTATTTTGTTGTACGAACTGTTTCATACATTGAAAACATTATTTTGTTTTTATCCAAAGCACGAAACCATTTGGTATCACCGTAAATTTATTGTGTACCACTTATTGCAGTGGATGTATGATTGCTACGGAATTGAGTGGCAACCAAAAATTAATCTTTCAAATGTTTGTGAATATAATGTTAATGTTGTTGATAACTGTACATACAAAAATGTTAAATTTGCTGAAAGTGGTGAAAAATTTGCCAAATTATTTAAATTTGAAACAGATAGATTAGATTCGTCTCTATTATATCAAATAATTGTCCAATCAGAATTCGATATTGTGAAAACATCACTTTCAAGTGCCTGTTTGCACACACAAAAATTAGCTGAAAGATATGAAAGATGGTTGAAAAATATTGCATGTTTAAGAGGTTCATAGTGTTGTTATTTACTCTTTGTTGTAATACTTTGCGGTAAAAAAATATAAGAAACAACAGTTTATGCTGCTGTTAGGCATGTTAACTAAGGCGCATACAATTTATATAATATGGATTCCTCAAGCTGGACGCT